CGAGGCAGAGACGTAGCAACAGTTTTCACCAACAACAACAACTGGTCACATCTATTCGACCTGAATCATCTATAACTAATAAAAATGTTGATGTGATGGAAGTTGAAAAAGATAATGAAATAAATGAAACAACTGGATCAATTGATGACTCCTTATCATTTATGGGACGTTCATCAAAAATTTCAATCACAAATCGTAACTCTAAAGACTCTATTAGGATGGACAATTTATCCCCTAATGCTAATAATGTAGGAGAGTTGGATTGGAAATACCTTTCAGCTGAGCATAATTCTGATTCGGAAAATGCTAATGAAATTTCGGGTAGTGTGGATGATAAAGAATTTAAAATTAATGATGATTTATCTAATCGACGTAGAAATTCTAAATCCCATCCTCCACTAACCATAAACACTAAATCCTCTAAATCGACTCGTCTGATCACTCCGGAATCTTCTGATTCGGAATTTGATATTTCGAATGCGCATATGCCCCTTGCCTCTTCATTGGGTGGAAGTATAAATCCTTTACGTGTACCGCGCCATAGTTCTGCTGAACTTTATAAGGGTAGTATAATAGAAAGACGTGGTAGACCTGTTAGTATGACTTTTTCTTCGATGGATGAAGTTATTGAGGAGGAAAGAGGTTCTTTATCGGACATTGCTGAGCAAGAAGCCGCTAATGTAAGAGCATCTGATAATGGCGTTCGTACACGAAATAAACTGTTGGCTAAGAAAAAACGTGCTCAAAAATATACTGACGATTTTAATGAGAAAAATAATGTCTCAAGATCAAATAAAATAAATAATCGACAACAAGCAGATGACTCTTATGATATTCATGATGATAACAGCAGTATTATTTCAAATGAATCTTTTCTTGATGAACTTAATGCTTTGCGATCACGTATTCAAAAATTGGAATCTGAACGTGGTAATATTGATGATGGTGAGTTACCCAACTTTTATTTATCCTAAAATATCGTAATTATTGTAACTATTTTATAATAATTATTATAATTCATATTAAAATTCATATTAAATTTATTATATTTAATATGAATAAAAGACTCAACTTCTGAAAAACGATCCCGGAAAAAGAAAAATTCTTCGGATCAAACTTTATCACCATCAGCAACATCACCTGTTAGTTCGCAAGGCGGTGCAAGTACTACTAATACTGGTACCTCTCGGCGTACCTTGACTACGGCTCAACATAATAAACACTTGGAAAGTGCTTTTGAGTTTTTTGAAAAAGCATTCTCAACTTCGGATCAGTCCACTAATGATACGTCACCTCCTCCATCTCACTCGATGGCCATGGTTGTATCGACTGCTCTTTATCTTAACTCCCACCTACGTAATGTTATAGCTCAAATGGAAACTGGCGGTCAAGCGTCGGAAAAATACATAAAAGTTTTATTAAAAACTAGTGATGAACAGATTCGAAGTTTAACTGAATGCTTATTAGCATTGGGTCCCCTTGCTCAAAAAAAGGTTCCTTCTAAGAAAGATTCACATAGTTCCCTTTTACAAATGCCTACTGCTTCAACACGTCCTATTTCTCCCGTACAAAGAATAACATCTGTTCCTACTTCAGAAGTTAACTATCATGAAATACGGAGAATCTCTCCAACTCCACCAACAGATCAATCATCTCCACCCACTTATTATACTCCTCAACGTCCATCTATGTATAATCGTATGTCTAGACCTCCTTCACCGGGTTTGCCACCAGAAAATATATATGATCCTCAATTTACTCAGGTTCCCTCCACACGTGCTACAGATTATCGAGAAAGACGCAACCGGCGTTATTCTGGTAGTACGTACGGCGGTTCTTATTCTGGTCCATTCCCACCACCTTCATCATCACCTTCTCCTCCTCCAGTTCAACCTTCACATTATGATCAATCTAATGGACGAACTTATTTGGACCGAGAAATTCCTCGTTTACAAAGATACCAATCACTTAATGCTGTTCCTTCTCTTAATAATACCTCATCCTATCAAAGATCTCAATCTCGTTCAACATCCTTTGGACGTGCTGACGATTCATTTACTACGGGTCATGTGCGTAGTGCTTCTAATTCATCATTATATCGTTCTTCATCTGGACGGTCATATGTACAACGTGGTGATGAGTTCGTCAATAGTCCGGTTTCGACTTCGCGACAATCACGTACATTCGATTATTCTCGTCGATATCAATCAGAAAATGGTCAATCTCAAATTGACAGACGTCAAGGTCCCATTTCTGAAATGGATAGAAGATATGGAAGGCGAGCCGGTGGGAATTATGAGCCTGATGAGGTCTTTGATGGTCAAAGTGGTTATGGTGATCATGTTTCTGACAAAAACTATACTTTAAGAGAAGAAAAGCCTGTTTTAAGAAGAGATGATTCAAATAATAGTGATATTATTCATAAACAAAGATTGGCTTCTCATCCAGATGAACAATCTCATAATGATGGTGTGGAAGAAGATGAAACTCACAATGATGGCGGGCAAGAAGGTCGTCAAGTTAATAATACTAATAATAACAATGTTGTTGAAAATGGAGGATACATATGATAGGTTTATTTACAATGACTTAATTCGCAGATGTTTTTCCCCTCCAAACTTTTTGTATTCTAAGTTTAGAACAATTTGGACATTTTCTACAAAGTGGTCTTGACGACCTTTTCTTATAAATATTTATTTTTCAAAATTTTCGTGTAGATATTTCCTTACTATTATTAACTATCGATTATTCCACATACTTATGATCAGCTCGTTAAAATAACAATTTTATCCGAATTTATCATCACGATTTGTTTTAATCTATTTATATATTTATATGTTATAGGAATTACTATATATATGTATATATGTATATATATATATATATATTATTTGTTTTCCTTATTATTAGTATCGAAAATTTTGACATTGACAATATTGAATAGGAATCATATAGTTTTTTATTATCACGAAATCATTTTTTTATGTTTATTAGTAATTACCCAAGAAAAAAAAAAAATTACAATATTTCATTCATTCTATTAAAAAAGCAAAAGCAAAAAAATTTTTACAATTTCCCTCACAATATACATACGTATTAAATTCTTAAAAAAAAAAATTAAAAAAAAATCCACTAATTTTTTTAAACAAATTTTGTTTTAATATTATCTTTCACATGAATAGAATGAATAATGATTAGAATTTGGAATTTAAATCTAATTAGTGATTGGGCAGCTTCGGATTTAAATCCGGATTATTGAATCTCATACAGGGAGGTCTTCAGGTTTCCGGGTCGGAATACCCTGGAATCATGATTAGAAGGACCGGTATTAACTAATTCTATCCAAGTTTTACTAATGAAATCATTGCCCGCTCATTAGGTGAAGTTGCCTAGCTGATAATATTGGCCCAGAAATGGTTGACTTGTAACAGCGCCAGGGTAAAATTGACGGTACGATTTCCGTTTACATGATTTTTCGAAATAACTGGGTCAATTAAAAATCAGGGTTTAACAAGTATTTAGAAAAAAAACAAATTTGGATAAAAAAAAATC